TTTATCAATTTAAAATGCTCAGAAGATCCATTTGTAGTTCTTCCAGCATCTCCTCTAGTTTAGTCCCTCAACTTTCATTGGCTACCTGGTTCATTTCCAAGCTCAATTTAGGATGCTGATTCTTGCCTTTAAAGCCCTTCACAAACTGGGAGTCGCCTATCTGAAGGACCATCTTTCACAACTTGATCCCACAAGCCAGCTGTGCTCCACCAAGTCTGCTACTCCTTATGATCCCTTCATCTAGGGTTTCTCATTCATCCTCCTTCAGAGAAATGACATATTTGGATTCTATGCAGTGAGAGTGGAGTCGTGATGCATCCCTCCTCCCATGACAGTTTTCTACGCTGCCTCAAAACTGGTCTTACTCGAACTTAAGGTCTCAGCCTGAAGAAAACGTTATTGTCTAAAGCGCCACATCATCTGACGTGTTCTCTGGCATTTTAAGAACAGCCCTGCTGGACCAGGCCAAAGGACCATCGAGTTCAAGCATACTGTTTCTTACAGTGGCTAACCAGGTGCTTCCAGGAAATCCACAAGTAGGGCATGAATGCCATAAGCGATATGAACATCTGAAACTGCCATAATCAGACCTTTGATCCAGCTAGTTCTGCCAGATACCAGAGGTCTAAGGTTTCTCCCAGTCCTACCACCATACCAGAGATCCTTTCTGAAGAGGAAATTGCAAAGCTGGAACCTGGAACCTTCTGCACTCAAAGGACATGCTGAGCAATAGCTTCTTAACCAGCTTTTCTTTTCTTCCTTGAAGACAAACTGAGCAAGTAACATTTGACACCATGGAAATGTAGAACAGGTGATTTCAGCGTTAGGCTTATAATGTGAACCCCTCTGTCCTTCCTCCAAACATATGCCAAGTTCCAGCATGTCGTCATTAAAATGCCTCTTTGTAAAGGGAGTTTATTTACCCTGCAATGATTTCATTCATTCTAATTAAGGCAGACAGGCAGCAACACTTCAGATGAAGACTGTCATTAATGAATAAATAAATGCCAGTAACTGTAGATTGCCTCTTGTATCGCTATACAGTGGCATTGGCCTTCATTCTGAAATCCAGTTCGTTTTTGGCTTTTGTAACCAACCTTTCAGCCAGGATTAGTATCGCTTGGGGTCTCGGTTTTCCATTTCAAACATCAAAGAACACCATCCTGAGCAGTGAGTGCTCAGTTACATCTTTATCGTATTCTTAAGTGATTTCAGCATCTCTTGGCTACGTGGCTCTCTTCCCTTTTTGAAGTGTTTCCAAATACATAGAGTGGGTTGTGTACTGCACAAGGGGGAATGCATTCCAAAGGTGAGGTGCCACCGCTGAAAAAGCCCCAGCTTTGGCTGACACCCATCTCACCTCTACACAACAACAAAACACAATCCACAAAGCAGGCAGATTTGTTTGTGGGTATTGCTGTGGCATCAATGAACAAGAAGCCTGATTCCGTGCTGGAGCTGAGGCCCCCAACCTTTTTCAGCCTGCAGGCACCTTTGGGATTCTGACAAAACGTGGTGGGCACAGCCACAAGACGGCTGCTGCAGGAGACGGAGCCAGCCACGGAATGGCTGCCACAGCTTGCCTTCAGTCACATAGTGACTGTGGTGCTGTGGACTCCTTCTGCTGTGGTGGAAGCGGCCGTAAAAGTAATTTTTTTAAAAAAAATCTGCACAGCCAGCCAAATCTCCAATGGGCAATCAGAAGCCTTCCTGAGCAAAAGTCCCATCGGGCTCCATCTATTTTGTAAAAACACCTGGTGGGCACCAGGAAAGGTGTTCGCGGGCACCATGTTGGCCACAGGCACTATGTTGGGGACCCCTGTGCTAGAGAGTGCCACTGAGATAGGTTTGTTCCAGTCCAACAGGAGAAGGGACATCAGTTCAATACAATTTTGCATCCCAGGCCTAAGCACATGACACTCAGCACAAAGGTCCCTTCAAACAGCCTCCTTGTGTTGGTGGCAACATTTGGGAATACTTTGCACGGAGTTTGCATGGAGGGACTGTACATCCCCACTAATGGTTGACAGTGGAATCTTTGCACTGTAGAGGGGGCGAGCTGTAGCATGAGCCACTAAAAACTGCTTTCACATGCATGCTAAATTCAGAGGAGTTGCCAAGTTAGTCCACTGTGGGGAACAAACAGGAGACTCGTGACAGCTGTTGTTCTTGCACAGTCTTTTGTGAACCAGAACCTATGCTAGAGTAAAAAGTCCATGCTAGAGTAAAAAGTCGTTAAGATCCCACAGACTCCTGTTTCTTTTCACATTCTGTTTCCAAGTGATTTCCCTATAGTAATTGGTGTCCACTGGCACTAAATCTAAACAAATTCAGCAGAACCAGCTTCCAGTTGTCCGAACAATACACTTTGTTTTCTGTTTTCCTACCACTCAGATGGCAAAAAGCTAAGATATGTGTGCTTCTGGGTGTGTGTGTAATTTTGTGTACAGAACACCAAGGCATTTATTATAAATTTTATAAAGCAGTCAAATAAGTTGATTGTGGTAAGAAATAAATTAATGCATATATTTCAGTATTTCCAATATCCAACGGGAGAGTCCACTGGGCCTCATGGTTTTAACATTTCTGGAAATATTAAGTCCCTGTTACAGGAGATTCTTCTTAAGCTGAAGATGACTGGATTTTGGCCTGCAAAGCACATGCTTGGCCCCTGAGTTGATTTAAAGTGCCTTCAAGTTGCAGCCGGTTTATAATAACCCCACAGGTTTTTCAAGGCAAGAGACAAACAGAGGTAGCTCGCCATTGCCTGCCTCTGTGTCACTACTCGCTACGCTGGACTTCCTTGCTGGTCTCCCATGCAAGTACTAAGCAGGGCCTACCCTGCTTAGCTTCCAAGATTCAGCGAGACTGGGTCAATTTGGGCCATCCAGGTGAGGATATAATAATAATCATGTGCTGTCAAGATGCAAATGACTGACGCTGACCCCAAGACCATGGGCATTTTTAAGGCAAGAGATAAGCAGAGGTGCTTTTTCATTGCCTTCCTCTGCACAGAAATTCCAGTCATCCTTGGAAGGTCTCCTATCCACATACTAACTGTGGCCAGCCCAGTTTAGATTCCAAGCTCTGGCTGAGGTTGGGCTCATAAAGGCGGTTCAGGCTGCTGCCCCAATTGATACATTTGTGTCTGAGTTTTCAAAAGTATAATGTGGATTGTCCTGTGCATTTTTTTAAAAAAAATAATCCTACTAGAGTTACCCAGTTTTTGCTGTCATTATAATCTTAGGCCCCGGTCACACGGGCTGGAAAATACAGGGGGGGGGACGTGGCTGTTTGCCCCAGGGCAAACTAACGCGCAACTGCACGCTCAGACGTCCGGTTGAGGTCCCGTCGAGGTCCCGTGGCTAGGGGGGAGGTGCCGATCACACGACAGGCAAAGAAGCGGGGTGGCGCGGCAAACGGGGTTGTTTTGGGTTTTTTACTTTTTTAAACTGAAGTGTGTGCATGCTCCGTTGGGTGCTTGTGTGCATCCGTGGAGCCTTGGGGGGAAAAATGACCTGTTTGCGAGGGGACAGGGGCGGGCGCCGGATGCCACCGGAAACGCGATCAGACGCCTGCCCTTGCCCCGCGGTTTCCAGAAACTAGTACCTCGGAGGTACTAGTTTTTTGCCCCGGATCTTCAGCGGGAAGCCTCGGGTGAGCCACGGGAGCTCTATGCTTCCCAGATTTGGCGGTGTGATCGCGCCCGGAAAATCCGCCTATCTTCCATCTCTGTAGCGTGGCTAATGTTCCGTGTGACCGCAGCCTTAGTTTTCCTACTCTTTCTTTTCTGCAGTTAAAAGTGGTTTGCAGATGAGAACATGGAGCTTGGTGAGGAAAGTTCACTCCAAAAAGGAAAGAAGATCAGGCTTGCTTCTGTTTTACTGACAGCTTCTCTGTCAGGCTGACACCACTGTCACTGGGCGTCTTTCACCTCCAACGTCCTCCAAAAGATGCAGGGGAAAAAATCAAGAGAAACAAAATCAGCTTTCTAATTCCACACCAATAACCTGTTGCAAACTCAGCCTGGAAAAAACAGAGGACTTGATTGGGATTCCGACTTGATGGCCCACGCCAAAACTTAATTAAAGCATGTACACTAATTTATTGTCAGGACAGGAGACTCTAGCTCTCTTCAATGTACTATTTGGGTATAAATAGAAGGGGAGGAAAAAAACCCAGTTCATTAGTTAAGCAAGACATCTGAGCAGTGTCTCAAATGGAGCACCTAATCCATGAAAAGGTAACCCAAGTAGCCATTGTCATCTTTAGAATCCTATATAAGTTAGGCAGATAAGACTGAGCCAGAGGTACATCCTGCTTGATTCAGCTCTTTAAAAAAAAAAATCCCCCCTCTTCCCTACCTGGGAAACCATAAAGGTGAGCAGCCAGTGTGAGATTTTAAAGGGCAGAAACACCTGTGGCCAGGCTGAATAGGTAGTAAGTATAACAGCTGCCTCTCTTGGAAGATGGATCTATTATGTATTTATTATTTATTTACCTGTGATGATCTATCTACCTATTATTCTCTTTCCTCTTGGGGAAATGATCAAAAGGAGGCAGCGGGCTTAAAGGACAAAAACATCAGTGTGCTAGTGGATTCCTGGCTAAGACAGAGCTATAATTAACCTCTTATTTCTCTGGATACCACTAGAAACTACAGCGATTATTCATTTTAGTGGAAACAACCTGGATCCATTTTATTTCTCTGTAAAGTTTAATTCTGTATACTACAAAATGTGGCATTGCTGTAACTACTTTCCTGTTGCAGAGAGACTACATCAAAATAGTTCATGTTTAGATTTTACTTTAACTGATTTTGACAGTACTGTAAAAGGAAAGACTGATCCAAACAGAGGCTTAGATGCTAGATGGTTTTAGTGGAAAGATAAGACAAATGTTCACCTCTTACCTTACCTTCCCCATATCAGAAGGAGTGCCTCTCGCTTGCCCGCCTGCATAAGCACCTTGAGTTTGATTTTCTTTCTGCACAGGTTAATATGAGCATCACCGACATCCTGAGCCCTTCCGATATTGCTGCTGCCCTTCGAGACTGCCAAGGTAAGGGTGCTGGCTGAATTAACCTAACAGATGCCTTGCTGCATTAGAGGAAAGGTCCCTTTAGTCCAGACTTTTGTTTTCAGCAGTGGTCTGCCGGATGCCTGTGAAAAACTTGCAAGCGGGTCATGATGGCTGATGGCCACCCCTTGCCTATCGTTTCTCAGAATCTGGTATGAAGATGGAGCTCCCTCTGAAGATGGAGCTCCCTTTTTCAAGCTACCATGGACAGCTAATGATGAGGTCTTTCCTTTTTTATAACATTCTTTTCTGAAGCAGTATGCATAGTTCCCCCCTTCCTTCATTTTATCAACAGCCCTGCAAGGTAGGTCAGGTTGAGGAAAAGACAGTGATTGGCCTATTGGATTCCTTGGAGAACGGGGATTTCAACCTGGATCTCCCCAGTCCCGATTCGTCCAGCTACTCTAACCACTACGCCACCTTTGCATGGATGTGTCTCATTCCTTTTCATGAGACATGGAAGTCTATGGCCAAAGCCACACCCTGTGGTTCTGAGGTCCATACATTAATTATGCAAAGCATGAAACAACACCTCCCTAATGTACCCTGAACCTAAGGCCCTCCAAATATCTTAAGGAAGAGAGTAATTTATCTCTATGCGCTCTATCTGCATCATTTAGAATTTTTCTGTCTTGTCCTTATGTCTCCCTAAGGAACAAACTAAGCAAGGTGGAGTTCATAGATCATCCTGAGTCTTTTGAAGAAAGATTTCAGGTGCTAAGAGTTCTAATTTGGGTTTGGGCTGTTGAGGGAAGAGAAAAGGGGTTTAATCCTTCCACCCTGACTCTGTCCCCCTTACCTGATGACAGGTAACTGTTAGAATAGCATAGCACCCGCTTTCAAAACCATACAGGGGTGGAAAGGTTAAACTCTCTCTCCTCTCAACCCTTATCTGAACACTTGTTCATAGAATACGTAACCAACAGATCAACAGCCACATTTCTGGGGACTATAGTTCAATTTGAAAATAACTATTTTCCAATTCACATTCCCTGCTTACATGACAGACCTGCCTCAGGGCAGGCGAAATGTTAGGGAATTGGATATCGGCTGTGAGGCTTTTGCGAGCTTTCTCGCAGATAAAGTCTTGGCGCTTCGCTGCGACCTCCCCGCCACAATTGAGACAGTGAGCAAACTTGAGGCCCCTTGCGTGTCTTCAGTACCGGGTTTAGAGTGTTTCAGTCTGCTCAGTCTTGACGAAGTTGACAGATTGCTCGTATCTGTATGCCCAACCACATGCGACCTTGATCCGTGCCTCTCCTGGCTCATTAAAGCGGGACATGAGGGGTTACGAGGTGCACTGCGGGAGATTATCAACATGTCCCTCTCGGAGGGACAGTTCCCGAGTGCGCTCAAGGAGGCGATGGTCCGCCTTCTCTTTAAAAAACCATCTCTGGACCCAGCCAAATTGGCTAACTATCGGCCAGTGTCCAATTTGCCCTTTTTGGGCAAACCTATTGAGAGGGCAGTGGCGTTACAGCTACAGAGCTTTCTGGAGGACGCTTCAGTCCTAGATCCCTTCCAGTCTGGTTTTCGCCCTGGTCATGGGACTGAGATGGCTTTGGTCGCCCTGTCTGACGATCTCCGAAGGCATCTGGATTGAGCAGGTGTGGCGGCATTGCTGTTGTTAGATCTGTCGGCCGTGTTCAACCACCAGCTGCTTACCCACTGCCTCGTGGACGTGGGGATTCAGGGGCTTGCCCTTCAATGGTTTGCCTCTTTCCTACAAGGTCGGGGACAAAGGGTGGCTGTCGGGGACCGGCGATCCCATAGGTACCCCCTTGATTGTGGGGTGCCACAGGGAGCGGTGTTGTCCCCGATGCTATTTAACATTTATATGCACCCCCTTGCCCAGTTTGCCAGGAGTTATGGGCTTGGGTGCCATCAATATGCAGATGACACCCAGCTCTATCTGATGCTGGGTGGCCGGTCAGACTCGAGTCCCGATGACCTTCACCGGGCATTGGAGGCTGTGGCTGGTTGG